AAACATTAAACCACATGGTCAAAATTCAGTGTAAAACTTCTCATCCTTTTGTAGAATGTTTTTCAATACTGACATGTAAAGTTGAAAGCCTTGTGAACTTTCTTCTTCTTGTTGCTTTATTTATACAAGATAATCTATACTGTACAATGGTTCTATCTATAACGCATTTTATTTTAGAATTTCATTCCCTTCTCTATATAACATTGTAATTTGTAATTTACTACTCTTGGTATTCTGAATAACTATTTACAAGAAATTACTCTTGGTATTATAAAAATTTCTAAAACTATTAATCTCAATGTTTTTGAAAGAGATAATTTTTTCCCCATCACAGGTTTTTTCACACATACCATGTAACACATGTATATGAGAATATGTTTCCCCCACGTAATGTATCCTTCCCCTTAGAAAGAGAACCCTAGTTTCCTTTGCAATAATCAACTAAACCAAACCAATTATGAGTCACAGTTCAAAATACCTCTAATTTATTAAAAATATACCAAGTTTATGAAATGAATTTAGTTACATAATGTGAATGTGCCTAATTTCTTATTAACAGTTTCAGATATATACATACCTTAAAATTTATGATATACTGAGATTTATAATAGCCTGAGATATCTCAATAATTACTTTTGTAAAAATTAAGTAAGTTTAATTAAAAACTGATCACTAAAATTTTGAAATTCTGTAATAAATACAATTTTTTAAAATAATAAATGATAATTAAGTAATAAATAAAGTAATAAATGAAGGTCCCATTTTGGCAAACGTGCTCTGAAATGAAAATATATTTGAAAGCATAAGATTGTGTATGCAAAATAAAGTGCAACTCATTAGCCAATGTCTGTATTTACCAACTATCTCTGATTGGCTATTCAAATCGAAACAGGTGTTATCCATAAATTTCAGATTGTGACGAAAGCAAGTTCTTTACGATGATGATGCTCGAAAAAAAAAAGGGGGGATTCTGAAAATATTTGCCAAAATTAGAGCAATCCCAACCTGGAAGGCCACAACCACTTCCGACGCCAATAGGAACGAGATGCCTGGAAAGTGCATTTTCAATAAACTGTTCTTCATCAAGATGACTAGAAAGACTTTTATGGATGATAATCCTTATAAAACTAAATGTGGTCTTTGTCTAAACAAATTGAATTTCTAGAATGGGAGAGTCAGTGCTCAAAATTCACATGAAAAGTAAGTTTCTTTTATCATTTCAATTTGTTTTACATGGTTTTGTTTAGCAACTTCTGTGTTTGTTTGATTTAAGCCATAAATTAATTTTTGATTACCTTCTACAGGTTTATTGTCTTTTGCATATATGTATGGGATATCGGGATTATGAGTTTATTTCTGCAGAGGGTCTGTTATCATTTCGCGGGAAATCTGTTGGCTCCATTTCGATTTTAGGTCGCCAAGGGCAAATTTGGTAACGCTAGCCGAAGAAAAAGTGAAGTTTGGAAATACGTTTTGAAGCTTTCAATAGACAATTAAGTATTTTATAAAAGGTTTTTCAAAGAATGTTATTAAATTTTAATATTGCATTCTAAGAGATAACATTCACCAAGTTTTAGCGATCCAACCCCCCTCCCCCCCAAAAAAAAGCTGTTGTTGATAGTAATGCATAATTTTTGCTAATGGCGATGATGCAATTATTAGTTGAAAATAAACTAATTAAAAATTTTTTAATAATTTTTAATACTCTGTTATTGGCGTCGCTGCATGATTCATCACTCAAGTTGTCATCCGTTGATAAACATGCGGTGATGAAAGCAAAATGCAATAATAATGATTCGCGATTTCGGCATCAAGGATATAAAATATAGTTTGTAAAATTAAACAAATGTTTTTTCGGTTTGAGATTATGCCAAGCAGATACGCAGCTATGGAGTCAAGTTACTAATCACACAAATTTATACTAAAATAATTATTTCTTCAATAATGAGATATTTTATTTAACGCCAAACTGAGATTAAGAATCGAGATTTCCGACATGTTTTTTTATGATGAGGAAAAAAATCTAATGCGCGTGCGTAAAGCATACCCCTTCCCTGCAAAAAAGCCCTAAAAAATTGGTTGGTGGTGGCTTTGAGGTCCGGATTTTAGATCATTCCAGATATTGCATGTCCAGATCTCGGACTTTGTACTGTATATATATATATACATCTTTCAAAATATAACTTACCAGTATGGATTCACTCTTTTAAAATAATTCTACTTTAATTAAACTTAGGAGATAATATAATCAATTAATCAATATTGCTTAGGAATAATTATATATAAATATATATATAGTAAAAGATGTTTATTTTCACTATTCAAGTATTCACTGTGACAAGTAATCTTATCTTGTCACATGAACAGGCCTCTGTGGAAAGGGGCTTCTCTGTAAATAAAGCAATTGAAATTGAAAATTTAAGTGACTCATCATACATTTTTCAATGCACAGTATTTGATTACATAAAATTTTCTGGAGGTGTTCTTAATATCGAAATTAATAAAGAAATGAGATCAGCAGCAGCTTCTGCAAGAAGTGGAGTTCGTTATTTAGAAGTTCAGTATTTAGAAGAACAAAAATCTTTAACTAAATCTGAAAATTCAAAGAGGAAAAGAAATATTTTGAGGAAGAAACTGATTATATGAAGCAGAAGAACAAATTTCTTAAAATGAACATTAAAGATGTTAATGAAGAAGTAGATACTTTAGCAGATGAAGCTGAGACCAGCAGGAACATTGATTTGTTTATCAAAGCAAATGAACTTAGAAGAATAGTTAAAGAAAAGGAAATAGACATAAATAAATTAGATGTTAAAATAGCTGAAAAGATTTCAGGTTTAAAAAAAGCACAATGTTTTGTATCTTTTATTGTACAGTTTATTATTCTAGTATCTTTCAAAAAAACCAAGGAAATAAGTTGTATGTTTACAAAATCAGTTATTTTAATCTGCAAAATATTCTTACATTGTGATTATAATAGTAGTTGACTGTGTTTTTAAATAAATAAATTCAAATAAGTTAAATAATAATCATGTAAATCTCTAAAATAGTGACTGTTATTAGTGTAAAATACACTTATACATTTTTTCAAGAAATTATGTCCCTAATTTAATGTTATCTACTTCATAACTTGTAGGGAGTTAGTTTAATTTTCAAAATTGTTTTGTGGTAAGTATTAAAGTAAGTTGGAGATGATTTATATTTATGACAATTAAAATAAAAAATGAAACAAACTATTTTTAGTTTATTCTTATAGCATTTAAATCCACTTTTATTAATTGCATCCAGCATTATTTTATGACATCAGGAAATATTAATTTATTAAAATTTTTTAAGACTTCTCAGCTTCATAATGCATTATATATATATAAAATACTATAAAGACGAGGAAATGTTTAATGCAAATTACTCTTTCCATTACATAATGCATGTAACTAAATATGTGTTTAAATACTACAAAATATGTATCCTTCTAGCAGGTTTAATGAAATTTTTATATTTATACTGCAGTTAAAAAATGAAATGCCATTGCATTTTGTCGAATTTTGAGAAATTAAGACTTACCATGTCTAACAGCACACAAATTTATCGCATACATATTTCTAAACAGTTATTATTAATTCTAATTCGTACAATAAATACTAAAAATATTAAATGTGCTATTAACTAAATATCAGACTGGGGCTACAAATGTCCCAGAACAAACATACTGCAAACATGTTTAGTCTGAGAACTTAGGTCTGTTTAAACCAGATATTTCTATCAACTGTGAAGTAAAACTGCCACTCTATAGGGAAATTTAAAGTTCCTCTGAATTCAGATTACTGTAAATAACTATGAATATGATATGAAAGCACACATTGACTTATTTTATTGCACTACGATATGAAAGCATACATTGCAAGAAAGAAAGTACAAGAAAATGTTTATAGATTACTTGCAATCAATGCACATAAAATAAATACTGAAAAGCTATAGAATAAACCATGTTTGAACATCGATGAGTACAGGGAAGCATAACAAAGCAAATGAAAACAGAAAATAAAGCTTTAATTAAATATTTACAGGTGCAAGACACTTATTTTTACATATATTATCAATATTTATATTTTATATTCAATTATGTGCTATTTCTAATTTAATACTCTTTTCTTGATAAGCAAACAGCAAACATAATAATATTTTTCGAATACCTATCCCGATCTGCTGCTATGGATAATCCCTTAGCAGGAAAAAAGTATCACACTGACCTCCTAGAAGAAGTACGTCATCAGATGACAACCATAACTTGGTCTACCATAATAAGCTGTTTCTCCCCGTTTTGGCGTTAAGGCTGTTCTCCGAACCTTATCCAAATTTTGACTATTGAGAGAATCTCAGAACAGCCATCTATTATGGCTCATGTGCCATACGTATCTCAAATCGTTTTCGAGAAGAGCAATATGTTTGCCCTAATTTCTGTTCTTCCGTAAAAGATATATGGGAAGTTTTCCCCAAATCAGATTGAATTAATTTTCTGATTTTTGATAGCTGGTGATAGATTACTCATTTTTGTTCAAGAGGCTGCTCCGAACGCCAAATATTCGTTAACACTCTCTATACGTAAGAGATGAAATAACTATTAGCGATTAGCCAGAGATAAGACACACAATCCTCTGGAATTCCTTTATTTTATTTAAAGTATGGCCCATATTTTAAGAGTCACCTTTCGTTTTTTGATACTATATCACGCGTAAACTTGATCTAATTAGGAAAAAGAAAGAATATGGTGTAAATTCTATTCGTAATAATAGTAAATATTTAGGTTCCTTGAAATAATATTTTATTCAAGTTCCCATTTAAATATCATAGAAAACATTTGAGTAACATATGTAGTAGATTCTTCCTCCATTCTGAACGCTTTCGTCGTACAACTGGAAGCACAGTAGACGCCTATTTGGGAGGTCCCGAGTTCGAATCCATTCGAGGGCATTGCACATTTTTCACATTCCTGCATCGATATAACCTAATAAGTCTACAAACTCTTTACTTAAAAATATTTTATTAAAATAAGATTAGGTAATTAAATAAATTCTTCTCAGCTTATAAATATGTCCGAAATTTAAAAATCACTTTCGAAAATACTAAAAGTAATGTGTGTTGTGAAGAATAGCAAGGAGTAAAATAAAGCTTTCCTTTCTTACACTAGGTAATGTTAGATGTGTTTGTGTATAAGGTATTTCTCCCGCTTTCCTAGAGTGCCTTCGTGGTGTAGTGGTTTTGCACGCTGGGGCGGTATTTCAGGAGTTCGTGATTCGATTCTCGGCGAAGACATTTGCTCATTTTTCATCTTCGGAAAAATCCTAATGTCTCTACAATGTAAACTAACAGTTGAACAAAGTTCATTATATCAGTATTTTCATCCAAATGCAATGCGAAATACTTACTATGTTTTATTTTTTGAATACACATCCCTTTTATAGAATTTGCCGTTTCACGAATTCGTTGACTTATTGTATTACTCGATAACGGGATATTATTAAGTTCATTAGTGATTTCTCATTGAATAATTTTAAAATGATAGCTTTAGCTGCTGGCAATGTATAGCTTTAGCTGTTGGCAATGTAAGGTTTTCTCCAATACTGTGAGCCTGCCCAGTCTTGGCAAATCTTAGGCTTACTGAATAACTAGCTTCTAAAGCTTTTTCACTTGAACAAAACATTTTATTACTTGTCTACTATTTTTGAACTCCTTAAAAAATACCCAATTTTCTACATGTGTTACAATCCCTCTTTTAAAAATATTTTTTTTCTGTTAATATGAACATAAAAACTACATTTTTTTGCAGAGTATACAAATTCTCATTGACGCTGCAAAGCAAGCATTGGTGGATAACAATACTGAAGCTGTTAAAGAAATTATAAGACATGATTCCTATGCAGATTATATCTTCCCTTCAGTGTCGGATGGTCGTGTTCGAGTGTCTGTTTGGGATCTATTCATGAAAGAAAATGTTAAATTTCCAGGTAATGCTACTTTTATTTGCACCAGTATTTTGTAATGTTTTATAGTTGGAAAACAATTATAAAAAGAGAAATCATATTTGTTAATAATAGTTGTCTGTTAACACACAAGTTTTCTAAAATTAATTTTTTTCTACCTCATGTCTTTTATGTAGTAGCAGCGTTCGTAAAAAAAAAATGAGTTTTTTTTTAACACTTGATTTGGATCGCTCCTCCCACCTCTTCGTAGTCTTGACGGGCATAGTTTAACCTTTTTGGATGTTCAATGTTCCATGTTTAGTGTTTATCGATGTTGATTCTTGAAATAATCTCTTCCATTTAAAAGCATTCTGGAAAAAAAAAATAAAAAATTTCACAGCTTGCTAAAGTACTTTTTGCCATCATTTGTTGAACAAATGAAATGTTGGAAACAATAGTTTTAATTCTTTCTTCCGTTTATTATATTTTTACTATATTATTTTATTAATTTTAATCTTACTTCTAAAAACTATATTCTTAAACTTATTTTTGTCTAAGTGTGGTGTAAAATTTTGCTTCAATTAAATGCTTATAATAAGGTATGTCTAATTATTTGGTATTTTTCTTATTTCAACATGGAATAAATTTTCTGTCATAATATTATTTATAATTCATAGAAATAATATAAATTATAGTAATTTTTATAAATTATAAATCATTTCAATATTTATTCAAAGAAATCTGAAAGTGTTCATGTTTCAATCTTCACTCGGAAGTACTCTTTTAAAAGATGTATGTATTACCCATAGACATAGCGTATGTGGAATAGGGAAATATTTCCTAGGATATTAAATGGATGTGCATTTAGACTAACATGGAACATCATATACCTTCTGTATATTTAAAAATTGAAAAAATATGTAATGTTATTCTATCATACTATGTATATATTTTAACTGGGTACATAGGGTTGACAGGAAAGTTTTTTTTTTTTTTTTTTTTTTTTTTTTTTTTTTTTTTTTTTTTTTTGTAGTGTGAAACAGAACTAAAGTCTTTCTCAACAAAATTGAACTTTAATCAACGGAATATCTTTCATTCTTTTCGATGATCTTTTGTCATCTTTCTGATATCTTCATGACTCCACGTTCTTAGAACTTCTGGTCTTTATGAGCAAGAAATTCAGCTATGAGCGATTTAATGTCATCGTTATTACTGAATTTTTACCATTTAAGACGTTTTGTAAACTTTGAAATAAATGGTAATCAGATGATGCAAAGTCAGAGCTATACGAGGGGATACAGCATCACTTCTCAACCAAGCTCTAAAAATTTTGTACGTATTGCTTAATATGTGTGAGGCGTCACAATTCGTAGCTGGGGCACAATTGTTTTTCGATTTACCATTTCTGACCCTTTCTCCTTGATTCCTTCCTCTAATGCAATATGTTGTAGCCATTAAACATCTTAACTTGATCGTACTCATGCCTCAAAGCAGTTCAAAATACACAACTGCTTAGTAATTCCCCCAGACTGGCTGCATAATCATTTTCTGATTCAATTTAGCTTTCGCTATGATTTGTGCTAGTTTATCATGCTTGGATGATGATATCCTCCCATTAATGTTATTATAAACAATCCATTTTTCATCACCAGTGATAATTCAGTTGCATTATGTTTGAAATGCATATCACAAATATAGATTTGCTGTGTTAAGTGAATTTCTTTCAATTAAAGTGGAACCCAAATATCCAGCTTCTTAAAGAGTCCAAGACATATTACCAGTTCTTAAAATGGTTGTGTTTCATACATTTAAGCTTTCTGAAAACGCTCGGACAGTTATATGACGATTCGATTTAATTATGGCTTTAATTTTGTTATTATATGACGATTCGATTTAATTATTGTTATTATGAAGTTTGGTTAACTTCAAGTGAAAATTCTCCAGAACGAGATTTTTTAAATTAATTTTGACAAATATTAAACAAAAAATATCATAAATGTCTTTCTAGCCTTTATGAAAACAAAAATTTAAGAAAATGTTTATTTTGGCACCCCGATGTAAAAATTCACACCCTAACTAAGAGTTTTAAACAAAAATGAACGGAATTGTTTCTATAGTCTCATAAAAGCGTTAGCTGCTGAATCTAAAAAAAAAAAAGAACTAAAAAAAAGATGACTGAAGAACTTTAACTTGACAAAAAAAAAAAAAAAAAACAAAAATATGAAAGTAACGGTATTGATTTGGGCAAACCGAAATTACTTCCTTGACAACCCAATACATGAATTAAATTAATTGTTGTTTAAATCAATCAGATTAAAAAGTAGAAAAAAAAATACAAGCTGTATTTCTTGTTTTAAAAATTATTATTTTTTTAATAAATAATATACAGATTAAATCTGACCTTACATTTACCCGAATGTCAATAGAGTCGAATGAAAAAAGAAACAAGTTAAGTGGAACATGCAAAACCGCATTTTGAGATTAATAGGCATTTTGGGTTAGAAAGGATATGTCTCTGATATAGAATTAATTTCCTTTTAAAGCTAAAGATATCTATCTATATTTTTTATAGTTGAAGGAAAATTGTTCTTTGTTCGTGATATAATGAAGCATTGTTTCTCAGCATATATTAAAAAAAAAAAAAAAACGATTACAGTTAGGATTTTATAAAAACATTTTATTAGTTCTTTTTATGTTAACGGAAAAACAGGGATGGATAGAAAATCAAGAATTCTGCTTCTCAAGTTGTTTCCATTATCCTCTAGTTTGGAAAAAATATGTTTTATTCTTTTTTATTATTATTTTAAGCTAAATATTTTATTTGGGCAAATAATATTACATGTTTTGAGTTGTAAATGCACCTGATTTAACATTCATCTCTTTTATAATAAATAACAATAAAATTATGAAACTTTCTTTTGTAGTATGATATATATGTAGAATAGCCATTCAGAGATTCCAGTAATTGTTACATATTGAACTAAGATTGCGTTTAACATCTACTTAAGAAATCATACATAAATTCATATTTTCATACTTTGTACATGATTTTACAGGTTATAGAATTTTTACTTTGTCTTTTTCAGATAAGTTCAAAAATCCAACCGTTCAGCGTGCAAATTATGACGCCGCCCTAGGGAATATTTTACTTCATCAGGCAGCCATCATTTCAGATTATGAGCTGATGAGATTAGTTATAGAAAAAGGAGCCGATGTTACCAGCATAGACAGATACAAGCAAACAGCATTACATATTGCTTGCAATGAAGAGTCTTTAGGTAATATTAAAATTAATGTTGAATGTGTTTACATTTTTTATCTCATTTGCACAATAAAATAACTGTAAAAACAATATTACGTTATAATAAGTTAGAAAAGAAATTAATGTAGGTTAGTTAAGAGAAAGGCAAATCAATTATTAATGAATTTTGAGAACTATTATATAATTGTTATTATTACTTACATCAAGAGGAAATAAAATTTCCTTAATTGTATTTCCATTCTGCTCGTAATACATTGAAACATGTATTAGTTATCATCAGAAAATACCTTCATCAGAATACGAAAGTAGATATCAGACACGCAAGGCAAATTATAAAAATGATTATTCATATGTGAGTGATGTATCTTCTTAATCATTAAAGAAAGTGCTTTAAGTCTTGAAAACTGCTCTTATTCATCAAACACATAGACAAAATACAACAGAAGACGAGCGACGAGTTCACTAAACCGTTCAAGTTCGAAGAGTGTTCAGAGTCCAGTGAACGGTCTGTCTTCATGTTTTCTTCAAGTTTTACGCGAGGACGTCCACTTTCCACTAAAATTTGTTAGACGATGGTGCCTTTGCTCTTCAGTACACAACCACATTGCTTTGGTAAAATACAGATATTTTAATTTCTAAACACACGAGCAAAAGTATTTTTGTTTTTTTGTTGAATGGAAAAAAACAGGTGCTGGCGTTGCCTGAAAAAAAAATTATTTCCCAAGCTCCATCTTGTTGCTATTATGGAAAGCGTAAGATATTAATTTTGCTTTTAGGTTCAATCTCTCTATTAGTCATTAAGAAACTAAGCGATTTAAAAGCAATAATCGCAGTTCTACATCTACTCTTTTCTTTATAACTATTATTTTAGGCATCTATTTATTTTAAAATTTTTAATTCTAAAAATGTGTCTGCTTTAAAATTTTGAAATTCTCACCCATTCTACATCAAAACCTTCGCACTCTTTTAAAACATTATTTGTGTCATTTCCTACATTTCTTAGAGAATATGCTGTATATCACTTTTAGCAGTGGAGTAGCTTTTCTTCTTTATGTGCTTTTCAAGTTGTTCTTTTAGTTGCATTGTCATTTATACGTAACGCTAGTTTTCAAATATTTATATTAATTAATTATTTCCTTATGCATGCTAGAAAGAATTATTTTTCATGCAAACTGTAATATATTATTCTTTTATGGGTCTTTAAAATTATAGCTGAGATAGGTAACACAAGTCTGCTCGTCAAAAACATCAGAATAATAATAAGAATAATAATGATTTAGCATAATGGAAAGCGCGAATGAACCGTCCAGGATAATCTAAGATCAAATACGTTGGAATTATTATTTATAATAGATATTGCACATAAATATGAATGTAAAACTACAAATAACATAATTTGAAGTAAGGTTGTAAATAATTATGGAATTTGGAAATAAAAGAGTTATTAACGAAAATCAGTATTTAAAGTGAACAATTTGATTGATAACACGCCATTTAATCAAAAACATTAAGCATTTATATAAATTCTCGAAGAAATCATAAAATAATTAATGAAATAAAACGAATAAATTAATTTATCATGTAATTTGAAATAAAGTTAACAAAAGGTTAATTAATTCTCTTTTCAAAAGCAGTCTACAATTTTATATAATCAATTATGTATGCACAGAAGCCTAAATGCAATGTAATAATTTACACATTGTCAAAAGTACTAGTTATTATGTTCATAAATTTACTAAGCCGACCCACACTTTTATTGCTTGTGACACTTATTTGTAGGAGATCTAGCAAAGAGAATTTTTTAATCCCATGTTCCCGTTATGGTTCAGGATAAACTATTTTAGTTTTTGTTCTTGAGCTCATTAATTATTCTACGAATAATAATTGAAATCCTGTTTTATTTAAACTTCATTTACTCGTTTACATTTTCGGGAAGTTCATTTTCCGTACCAGGCAATAGGTAGCAGCGAAACAGATAATTCTAATTTCACAGTGTAAGAAAATATTTCTGAGTGCTTCTGTGTGGACTGCTGCATATAAATAATTCCTATTCCCATTTGTAATTGGTATCGATAATCCTTTTTTTAATTTTAAATTTTACTGTATGCTTAAAGTTGACGCATGCATTATTTTTCAGAAATTATAAAGTTCCTGACTGAGAAATCGCCCGCATACATTCTTGACCTTCGTGATACATTCTTGACCTTCGTGATATATTTGGATATACACCGTTGGACGTAGCGTGTGCATTTAGTTGCCCAGACGTTGTGCAGTTTCTCTTATCACAAGGCAGTAGTGTGGGTGCAAAAGACGTCACACGACATCCTCTACGGAATGCGCTTTTCATCAATCAGGCAGAAAATGCAGCCCCCATTGCACCTCTCCTTTTAGACGCTGGTGCAAACGTAAGTAACGAAATCAAGTCTGTGTTTCTTAATGATAGATGTTTCATGTTAAATTTTGAATAATACATGTTTCTAACCGAATATCACAAAAGAATTCAGAATTTAGATTTTGACATATAAATTTAATGTCAATGAAAGGAAATTTAGCCCAATTTTGGGGGTAATGAATTAAAGATATTTTATCAAATATACACATAATCCTATTTTATGCACAATTTTAAGTCTACAAATTTCTGTATTTAGGAGATAGTGTAGAAATTAAATAAATTCAAGAGTGGGTATATAAATGTAAAACTGTCATACCCTATTTTTTTGATGAAATTATGTGTGTCAGATTTATCGTTTATAAGACTGTCATGAAACACATAGCAAGGCGAAGAACATAGAGGAAAATCCAGTACTATCGGGACAACTCTTTGTATATTCAAGTCGTTATTGCTTTATACATCTTGTTTGAATCTCAGGACAGTGTTTAGTAACTTTGCTGGCTAACTTATTTCTAGGCAAAATCCTATTCCATGAATCCATTTTATAGGCCAAATGCTAAGGCAAAAAATTTGAAAATGAATTCTTCTTTGCAAATTTCAAAAAATGATATTTAAATTAGGGAATTTTATGCTAAAGGTCTTTAAATTAATTGACAATTAAATTTAAAAATTTACTTATTTATATATTTTTATTATAAATAATATGCAACAAATTTGTAATCTTGGAGTGATTTTTCGTGAGATTCGATAATATAATAGTTATCTGATTTAGTTAAAAATTAGGAGAGGTCAAACTTTAGAGGAAACTAAATATGCCTTTTAAAACAAACTTTATTTTGCTATTTGCTTTATACAGAAAAAGAGAAATAAAAACAGTTATGACAAACTTAGGGTTGAAGTGTTCATACTGAAAAAAGATTCAAAATATGCATATCCAGTACTGACAAAAGTTACTAAATATCTCTAAACGTGCTGACATTGTTATATAAAGTTCATTTAATTATATAAGATAATTGTGTCAGAATGAACCACACCCTTGAGCAAAAATAGCTTAGATGCTGCACAGGGTGGAAAATTATTTATTCTCATTATATAAAGAATTTGGTCAAAAATGCTTCTGATAGCTATTCGTAAAAAATTTGGGGAAATTTCTCTCAGAACTGGAGAGCATTAACAAATTCTTTGCCTTCCACCACAAATCGTTCTCATTTTTTCTAGAAGTTCCTCATAAAGCCACTTCTGGGTATGTTACTCAATTCTTAACAAACAAAGAAACAAAAAAAAAAAAAAAAACAGCAGTTCTTTTGAGTTGATAACCTACATTTCCCAGTAAAAACAAGTTTAACTAAACAATTACTATTATTTTTTAAATACTGAGAATGCAAGTAGTTGACATCTGTGAGAATTTATGTGGTGTTATTAGTACATGTATGTAAAACACTAAAGTCGATTGAATCGTTCTTTCATTTTCTTTTTTGTACACTACCCCCCACCCCCCCAAAAAAAGGTATAGTTATATCTCTCGTTCTACCGGCCGATTGCCGAAATTCAAATTACGTTCTTTTATGTCTTCAAAGCGAAACTTTGGATTTATATTAGATTTATATATAGCTTTGTTCTAACATAGGTATTGGCACAAAATCAGACGTTTTCTGAAATGACAATTGTTTTCCATATTTCGATTCTACGACTTAAATTATGCCTAAATATTAAATTTTGTAAAATTTGCTGCCCAATTTACGGAGACATTTAAAAATTTATCTTGGCCTAATTTTTTTTCAGGTTGCGCTAAAAATAATTCACGGGGCAATCTTCTTAATTTATAGCAACCTATTTCCGTTTCCCTTTTTTCTTTGTGCACGAGCAGGAAAAACAGTTAACCATTTTATGCTTTCAAATAATTTATAACAAAGTGCGTAAACCACATTTTCGTAGTTATCACTTATATATTATTATCGGAAAACTGTAAATCTTAGGAATGAATAAAGAACTCTAATTGCTTTGAGGTATGCTTAGAAATGCATTTACTTTAAGCTGATCACAAAAATTTAATAAGTTATAATTCAAAATGTTCTTCGAAAAATTTATAAAATTATTTAAAAAAGAGAAATTTTAACAATAAATCATAAACATTTGGCGAATTTTATTTGGATTGAACTTAAATTTCGAAATATGAACAACCCAATAAGTTAAATAAAAAAAAGAAGAGATATTAATAATATATATCAAATTCCATTAACACTGAGGAGCTAAAATTTTGAGAGGTAATTTTTTAAAAAACTACTCGTATGATTTTTACAAAACTTGGCAGTTTGGCATACTTTGAGTTGTGGAATCGAAATATGGACAAAAATTGACATGTTATTTCAGCAAAAGTCCAATTTTGTGTTGCAATACCTATGTTAGAACAATGCTATATATAAATCTAATACATATCCTAAGCGCTTTCGAGACATGGTAAACGCAAGTTGAATTTCGTCAATCGGCCCGGTAGAACGGGAGATATAGAACTGCCCCCTTCTTTTTTTGTGCAGTGTGCATTAATTTTTTTTATTTTCGGTTTTGTGAAAATTGATTCTAAACTCCTTACTTATGTCTTTACTGATTGATTCTAAACTCCTTACTTATGTCTTTACTGATATATATATAAAGAAATATGTAAATAGGCTAAAAATTCAAGTAAAATTTTTGTTGTATAATTTTGTATATTTTCCCATTCGCATTTTTACTTTTCGTGATTTTTTTACTATGAATTCCATCTTTAATTCTATTAGTTTTGATATTATATTAAAACTCTTATTCACGGTTGCATAAATTATACAGGGATTTCCTTCATTTTTTTCCAATTTACTAATTAATTTAGATACTTTAAGTTTATATGTATATCACATATTATATATCTCAAATATTAATCAATACTATTAAGATACACATTACTAATATTTATTTATATACAGTGGTGGCCAAAATTGTGGACACTTTTGGAAATTTTTATGTTTTTGAACTTTGTATGCTTTTAGAAACTGTTACGTTTCGCAAAATGCTAACTTGTATATATCATTTTAAAGAGAATTTATTACTGAATTCAATACAAAACACAAAATTCAATTATTTGCAATACAAAAAAGTTATATGTACTAAGTACTTATTATATAAATAAAAAACACAGTTATGAAGTGGTTTGTAATGTCTAGCTTTCCTGGCCAATCACTGTTCTTGTTCTGAGAACCAATCAAATGTTAGTAACTGCCAGTAGAAGCTGACATCATGTTTACACTTGAAACAATTCATTATTTTGCTTTGTTCTGTAGAAGGAGGACCTGTTTCTTATACACTGCAATTACAAGTAAGAATTTTTGTAAAAATTTTCAACAATGCTTCGTTTATTTTTCAGCAGGATTCTGCTCCTTGCCCAAAATATCGAAAGAGTGGTTTTGCACAAAGAGCATTAAATTGTTATCATGGCCAGGAAACAGTCCTGACCTCAATCCTATCGAAATTTGTGGCACCGTTTCATAACTCTTGTCCGAATGATGCGCCCATCAAATAAAAGGGAACTAATTGAGGCTATAATTGTTTCCTGGCATCATGTAATAACGAAAGAAGAGCTTAAAACTCTTTTTCAGTTCAATGAAACGTTGATGTGAAGCTGTAATCAAAAATAAAGGGTACCCTACTAAGTACTGATAACTCACTGCAATCATCATTATCTAATATATATCGATAACTATTATAGTTTAACTTTTTTGTATTCAAATAATTGAATTTTGTGTTTTGTATTGAATTCAGTAATAAATTCTCTTTAAAATGATATATACAAGTTTGCATTTTGTGAAACGTAACGTTTTCTATAAGCATACAAAGTTCAAAAACATAAAAATTTCCAAAAGTGTCTACAATTTGGGCCACCACTGTATATGCTTTTTGCTTTGCTAGTAAAATGATTTCAAAATATGTGCGTATGCTCGTATGTATTTCATACTAATATTCTGGATTATCTAAAGTTGTGTTGGATATATATTGTGCAGTATATTTTAGGATATATGAAGTAGTTTCGCAATCATTTTGCAATATACATGCTTGCAAATAAAGAGATGAATAGTTTCTCAGAAATTAAAACTTTCATAAAATTTCCGTTTTTCGGAACACTTCAAAGGCCAAAAGAATGCCTTCAGTTCTAAAGCACTATGTGAACGAATATTATGAGGAACAATTTAAATAACAACGAAACTGATTTAATAATCCATATTCTACGTAAATTTAGTTTTTTAATCAACTATCCCAATTTTCAAAATGAGGGCAGAATTAGCATCTCTAATAGATATTTTATGTAATGTTTTTAACTTTTTGTGTGAGATGTTTATTTTTGAAAAGTCTGCCTTCTTCCATGAGATCATCAATAGTTGAATTTCTGTTCTCATGTATTAATATATTTCCTTTTGATATTTATTAAGTTTGCATTCCATTACTTTTATAACTCCTACTGCTGTTTCTTTTTCTATAATTTTCTCAAACTTCTAAAGAAATAGTTACATAAGTTCAGTGACAAAACAGTTAACTCTTTATTTATTAGGAGAGAATCCTAAATAAAAATTAATATTGAAATTTTAAATATTCATGCAAGACAAAAATATGTAAATCATCTTTAGAAGTAATTTTAGTAAATGCACTTAATTCGTCATTTTTAATTTGGCTATTTCCTCTTTGTATTCTAAAAATCATAATAACTTTTCTGGACTGTGCCATTTCTAGATCAATCTATATAACATGGTTTGCGTAAGGCTGATGACGTAGCTAATTCAGAAACTAAATTCAAAATTTCACGAAATAAAATTAAGATTATCTAAATAAACGACCTAAACCCAAACATTCCTCTATAACGGATAGCCTCCATATTGGATAATCTAATATGGAGGCCATATGGTTAGCCTCCATATTGCATAATCATGCACTTCAGTCTCTAAAATTCTTCCTGTAAAAATGCTATTTCGCTGTGCTCTCTTGTTATCGGAACAGTATCACAAATGTAAATGTTCTTGAATAATCAAGATTAGAGGGCCAAGTAAATTGTGGCGACAAATGTAACAGCCCCGACTGCTAAGTTTCCTAGTTGTTACGGATTCAACATTTTAGCACTCTACGCAATCAGAATTCTTCCTAGTCAGTATGGATCTATTTGCTACCACAATCAGTATTTTTGCGTTTCTACCTCTCAGTGTTTCTCATCAGTACTTCTAAATTTGATTTTATAACATACAGATAATATCAAAACAGATTTCTTACAGAGTGCGATATTCATAAAGATGAGAACAAAAAAGTATTACCTCTATTTTATTAATTCAATAAATTGCATTTGCATGACATTTCTTCTATACTGGGTTTCTACACTCTTGTCATAATTAAGCCTTTATTGAGAAGAAGAGCAATTTGGGTGGTACAGCTATTATTTCGTTAATTTATTGTCCTTTTATATATCTTCCTATTCAAATATTTTAATTTATATAAAATTTTTATGCATTCTTTCTTTTGCAGGTTAACCATGCCAAGCGTTTTAGGGGATCAGCACTGATACGTGCTTTAGAATTGTATAACTTGCTGCGAATCAAACTTGCTGAAAATTCCACTGCAAGTCAAAATAATCCATGTGTAGATTTGTGCATGCAGTTGATTGACCATGGATGTGATGTTAATGGTACTGATTCTGAAGGTACAACTGCTTTGCACCATGCTGTAATGGCAGGGCTTGAAAAGGTAGTTTCGAAGCTTCTGATTTCTGGAAGTGACACCGACAGATGTGACTGTATTGGTGATACCCCATTGCATATTGCATGTTTGAATGGAAATCAAAGACTTGTTGATATACTCATAGCTTCCGGTGCTAATTTACGGGCTGTAAATTGGGAAAACACATTGGAAGAGTGGAGCTATTGGGATATTTTAAATGGCAGAAACACTAAGCTATTATATTATATTATTTGTCAATCAAAGCAGTGTCAAAGCTTAAAAAACCTCTGCTATATAAAAATCAGAAAAACTATTAGGAATGTAGAAAATGACGCCACTAAACTTGGATTACCAGAATTCTTTGTAAAACGCCTACAATTTAAAGATTAATGGAAATATGACTTTATACCATTTATTGGCATATGCATGAAAGTTATCTTTAAGAGACTAGACTTGTTCCGTCATTTCTAATTATGTAGTAGAACTTACTAATGTTAAACATTTAATAAAAAGGAAAAACGTATTGGTCTTTATTTTCTTTTTTCTCGTGAAAGAGCAGTTATTTTAAAATTTAGTACTTAACTTTGGTACAATATTTGCTTTCCTTTTCTGTAAAAATTGTTCTATATTTATAAAAACACAAATAAGCAATGCTAATGAAATGGATATATCCTAAGTTTGTAACAGTAAAATAATACACAAATGGAAATTTACAGATTTCGAAAACAATAAAAAGATTATCAGACTCAACATTAGTTAAACTAATGCGGCAAAGAATAAATGTTGGAGATTAACAAAGCTAACAGAATTCACCACATTTTTCGTAAATTTGCAGGACTAGTTTCGAAGTTTTTTATTTACATTTATTCTTGTCCCTTAATAAACGATTATCACTTGAAACTAATGTACATCAGTGCTTGCAAATAGCGTTAAAAATCAAGCAACTAAGAAGAAAAGTAAAACAGTCAGTCATATTCCTCACTAGTAGAGGAGAAGAATTGTGCTATACAAGATAAGCAAATAATAACACAATGGAACTTCCAAAAATTTAAATTAGAATTGACAAAACGCTCTACTTGAAAAAAAATTGAGAAAAGTCCAGACTAGAGGACCATACAACTTCTCTTTACATCCAGCAAAACAAAAGAAAGTCTAAAATATTCTGTGAAATAAATTCATATACAAAATTATTTCTGCATGTACTCAGTATACACTCTACTCTCTGCATGTATAGGCAAATAATATATGTTCTTTGCATTTATGTATATAATCATGTTATATATATGTTTGTAAATATATTATTATACATATGCCATTATGTATATTAATATGCTGTATGTATTTACCATTATGTTATGAATTTATGTTCTGTATTTACCATTATGTATTCGAGTATGAAAGGCACCATATGAGAGACTCATTTCATGGAGGCAACCACCTGTAAAAGATAAAGTATACCTGACAACATAAGTATATATTGGTATTGAACATCACCCCTTTATGGTGACCACCTCTAAAGAAATATTTTTGATTTGTGGCTGGTCGTCATATTTAATGTTCGTATTTATGTAGATTCTTAGAAATACTGTCTTATGGAAGTAGTGGAGACGTGAGTTTTTTTTCTTTTTTTTTTTTTTTCCAATTCAAACATTCGTATTGGTTACAAAACTGAAATAATCTTAGCCGCAACAAAATAAAGCATATTAATAAACAATTTAAAATAACTAATAGACAACAACAATACAAATGAATTTTGGTTTACCGATACCATTATTAATTTCATCATTTATAAGAGGTCTATTGAGGTCAGTTAGAAAATTGGTACAAATTCATATAAACCAATAGACAATTTATTTACCATCCATTTCGATTATATTCAATATCTATTAAAATAAGAAAAACCAGTAAAAGTCAAAATAAACCAATACAAACCAGCAGACAGTTTTGACATTGATGTTGGTTATATTGGTGCCAGCTGATACTAGTAAGAAAAATCCACACAGATCAATGAACGTAAAAGAGACTAGTGAAAGTGAGTAGAAACAACAGAATTAATTTTATGCGTACCAGTAGAAAGTTTTATTGGTTTCTGGGGAGCATTTTGATACCAATAAAAAAAAAAAAACCCGGAAATGCCAATAAATGTCGGTAAAAATTAGAAGAAACTCGTATAATTCTATGAGTACCCATAAAGCGATTTATTGGAACATGATTAGCAGAGATGATGTATGTCAAAATAGGGAAAACTTTGTAGGGTTCCTCACTGTGTATTTCTAGATTACCGTTGGAAGTGAAGAATCCTAGGAACTGATAATCGAATAATCACTTGAGTTCGTGAGATAGGAAACAACCGGTAAGAAGGGTGAAATAACTCTTTATTATTACAACTAAAGTTTAATAAAACTCCGTCTTGGAGTGTATAATAAAGCTGACATTTGGGCTCGAACTTAAGAGACTAAGAATTAAACTAAAACTATCTTAACTAAAAGAGATATAGCCGAAGCTATCAAAAGTCTAACAGAGTTGACCCCTTAAAATTAAATAGACTGCGAAGCTATCAAGGTACGGCCGAGTGTCATAACAGCTTACAAGAGCGTAGCCTAAAAAGAGCAGACGCGTGCGATCCAGAAACCTGGTCTCTCTCCAAGACCGAAGAACTTCGCGGTTAAATACCGCTCTTTCTCATTGTGTATTCAGACGTGATTCTAAAACTACGTTCTGGGAAGAAGTCGTAAGTTGAAGTTAAGAATTGATAGGAAAGAAGTTTAACTCAAAATTTAATTGTTAATGAAATTAACATAATCTTTACAGCTTAAGTAACTGTACATGTAAATAAACTGTTGAATGTTAAAGGAACAAAACATTCTGAATAAGATGAAAGAACACCAATAATAAACTTACTTGATTATTTTATTGACGTTTATACAGTTTTATTTATTGCAACAACAACCGGTGCTATTCTGAATGAGTAAGAATATAGCCAAATATTCGGTCTTTCACTGTAACAAATTCCATGTATTTCAGGTAAATTTATTTAAATTTTTATACTTTTGAGAGAATATTTTCCTTTTTTAATTCCTTATAAGATATAAAGGAAATACAACAATTACAAAAAATTTCAGGTATCATATTTGAAAGGAAATATCCATTTTGACCGTTCTCGATTCTATTTAGGCGATTTTGCTCGATATCTATGGACTGCATAAAGGACTTTACTCCAAAACGGATTATAAAATGGATTCAGAAGGAATTTTTTCATGACGAAGGTATCATGTATAGCACTCAGAAAAGTCAAAAAATGATTAGTGTTAGAATATTGAAATTTTATAAATGAGACAGCTATAAAATCTAGCTGTGAATTCCCCTTTTTATTGTAATCGGCAGTACCAAACTTATATATATATATATATATATATATATATGTAAAATATAAAATCACGATGGCTTTGCTCTATGCAAACAAGCAACCTCTAAGTTACTTTCCGTAATTTAGGATCTTCCCCCTTGACCAGTACCTTCCAGAATTCTCTAGTCTATTACGTTACTCATATAAATAACGAGCTCACGCCATTTTGCGACACAGAAGCAAAGAATCTCTAAGGAGATTCCTCGCTGCTGCTTATGCCATCTTTACTTTGTTAGAAAAAGTGGTGACGCCAAAAGCATAAATTTCATCGTACTTAGTTTAAATCATTATGTAATATGTAATTTGGAGAATCTAAAATATGCCATTCGAATGGAATAAAGATGTGTAATTAAAAGATAAACCATTTTTGTGTCATAATTGGATTCAGCCTTACCACTCTGCTACAGAAATGCCTGCCGCATCATCACACACACACATGTACGAGGGCAAGTTGAAAAATAAGTTTCCCCTGTCGACTGTTGTCAGAGTTGTGTATGAAAGTCAAAAAATAGAATTAAACATTAAAGATATGACATACCTTTATTTTTCCACATAGGTACCAAGCGCATTGAGACATTTGTCATATCGCTTGATAAGCTTCAAAAAGCCTTCCAGGAAAAAATCAGGGCTTTGTATATGGAAGAAGCGTTGAACAGCTTGTTTCACTTCAGTATTGCTTCCAAAGCGCCTTTCCCCGAGATGTTCCAGGCTGACCCCCATGCGTTGTTCCTTGTTTGTGGAGGTCAATTGTCGGGGCACCCATTGTGCTGACACTTTTCTGTATCGAAGAATGTCGTGGATGATGTTTTGAGCTCGCTTATGTGAGATTCCAAGTTCTTCCGCTACTTCATCGATAGTGATACGCCGGTTCGCTCTAATCATGTCATCCACCTTCCTGACATTTGCATCTGTAGTGGTCGTGCGCGTTCGTCCAGCTCTCGGTATGTCCTCCACTTGCTGACGTCCATCACTGAATGTGCAAAACCATCTCTGAACCATTTGCTTCGACATCACACCTGGCCCATAGACTTCGATGAGGCGGTTATGAATTTCTGTTCCTGATACTCCACGTGCCCATTCCATACCTGCCAACTTTTACGAATTTTTTGTAATTTTTACGAAAATGCGTTTGTTTTTACGATTTTACGATCGTAATCCATTTTTTTACGATTTTTTTCCTTTTTCAAGCGTTTTTAGTGATTTTTGCCGAAATTTTAGAATTTTTCGCCAATTCAGCGATTTTCGCCAATTGCATCGTGTTTTACCGCCAAATACCGACTACTTCGAATCCAGTAACCTGCGGTTTCTCCCAACTCGCCGCTTAACCAGCTAATCCAATGCGTTGAACTTGCTTCTCCCATTCTTTTCTTTGTGGGCGCCAGATTATTTTCGCGTTCGCTTCAGCAGCAAGGGAATTACTCAGCTCGGACTCCACGAGCGTGGATTGTCGCAATCATATTCACAAAGCCTACAGACCATTTCTCTAAGGTCTGCTCTCATTGGATGAAACATCTGCTTGGCGGTCATATTTTGAATGGCGAGTTATCGCCCTGTAGGCGTGGTAATTAACGCCAAACAAACGGAAACAGCGTTCATTTCATTCGATAATTTTTATTTTATGAATGAAAGCTAAGAGGAATTGTGTGGAATATGTTTTAAATAACCTACTAATCTTATTAATAGTTTATTTGTATTTGAATTTAAACTATTTAAAGTACGATAATTGTTTTGCAAGAAAAGGTTTTTACATGGAAATGGCACGTGTACTTTTTCGTCATTTCTGTTAGAAAGAATCTATTGTGTAAATTTCCATAGCGCATTAATTTATACAAATAAAGGAATATTAAAAAATAAACCAAATGAAAACATTTAAGGGCGTCTGATACCTATTCTTTTTTACCTAAATTATGAAAAGTAAGTACAACTAAAATTATATTTTATTCCATTATGCGCTATTTCTATTGAAACGCTTTTCGGGATCTTGGATCGTAATCTTGGTACTGGTACCTACTACAAAGAGTACAAACCAGTAAATAAAAATAAGAAAAATTAACAAAAATAGAGAAAATAAAGGCGCTTAATTTTTAACACCGTACCCAAACAAATAATGACGAAGT